AATTATAAAACAAAATAATCTAATATTTTATATTTACTTAGAAATCGTTAACGTTTAATAAAATAAATAAAAATACCAGATTTATTAAAAAAAATTGCAATAATTTGACGTCAATTTGTCAAAAAAAAAAAAATAATAATAATAATAATAATAGTAAAACAAATTACAAAATATTATATTTTTTTACTTAAATGATAATAACAGAAAGCAAGAAATAAACAGATTTACAGACTAAGTCAGTATAATTAAAATTTTACAGTAGAAATAAAATAAAGCTAACGGTTTATAATAAGACTATTATTATGATTGGGAACATAATTTAGACGACACCGATGGGTATACTTCAGTCATGGCTGTTGACTCTTCAAATTGCATACACCAGAGCAAGTGTGATGCATGTAAATTGTATGAAGTTATGGTGCTGGAGACGTTTGAAAGTCAGTCAAGATTATCTTGTTCACCCAACGACAAGCTTTGAACTCGTCGGATCCCAAATATTTTATAATAATCTTTTTCTGAAACAAAACAAGAAATTTCACCGATTACCATAATAATACAGATAAAAAGAGTACCGCAGACACGTACAATTTGCGTGATGATGTCTGCTTCTAATGCTCATACACATAATATTTCATACAATCAAGGAACTCATGTCAACAATAGTTATTTATTACCATTGAACATGGGGCGCATGTATAGAATAAGGTGAGTAATATAATATATTATTTTACTTTAATTAACCTATTAATACAATAGGTGGTAATAATAATAGTAATAATAATAACAACAATAATAATAATAATAATAATAATAATAAATGTATTAATGTATATGTATAGTAATTTCTCCAAAAGAAAACAAAATCGAGGTATGCGACATTCGACATCCACGACATCGTCTGCATTAGCGTTGCTAGCATTTTTATTTTTTTTGAACATATTACAGGTAATACCAATATTAATAATTATTATACCTAATTAAAATGAGTAATGACACATAACTGATCTGATTATTTTATAACAATGTGGATAGTATGTTTAATACCATATTATATGATATGTGATAAAAGCATAATATATAGTATTGGTGGTCATTTGAATAGTTTTGTTTTCTTGGTTCGGGCTTTAGAGATCCTTGGATGAAAACAAACAAGGACCAGTTTTGATGACGCGCATAATAAAGCAGACAAAAATACGACCGCGCAATGATTTCATTGAAAACGAACAGTTTCTAAGAACTGTTGAAACTACTACTCGTGACAATATTATGGTTACAAAATTTGAAAACATTTATAATAAGTAGGTAGGTAATTTAAATAAAAAATTACAGTAAAGGAATGCTGTGTACTTACTGGTGTTAATTTCTAAGGTGATTAAATTTAATCCACTGTTTGGTTTCTTGATTTCTT